TTTGCTAAGCTTTTTCTAAGTAGGTTCTTTAGACCACTGAGCCATCTCACCAGCCCCACTATAAGCTCTTTTTAGCCCAGGTGTACAGGAGCATTTGAGACACTCCTAAGAAAAGACCCTTTTGCTGGGCTTTGAAGACATCCTTTGTTCCTTAACCTTGCGAAGTCACTGTGCCATGCCACACTCCGCAGCTTCAGGGATGTGCTGTTTTGTTTGCCCTCCAATTCACTCTCTCAAGTCTTTCCTGCTCACCTCAACCTGCTGTTCTTCCTGAGGCCACACAGGTCCAGGTCTTGCTTAGCTCCCAGCTTGAAGATTCACCTCTGTAATGACATTCCAAGCAACTGGAATGTCCTCTCTGTATTTATGTGTCCTAAGTCACCATGGTGATTGTGTCATTTGGCATAAGCACTTATCAGGACTTCCATTTGTTCTGTTATATATGTATGCCCCATCATGCACCTGTGGAAAGAATGGTGAGGAGGAGGAAAGTACAATGTGGCCTTTCTCAGCCACTGTCCTGCTATCAAGGCCGAGGCCCACAGGAGCCAGCAGTGGGCAGAAGCCTTCCTCTGTGGTATGAGGCATTGTGCTTGGTGCACCCTGATAACAAGTCTATGCAAATCTGGCCAGTAAACACTAACGTCACATACAGTTGCATAAATTAATCACTCCAAGTTCATAAGCTACAAGTATGAAAAACTGGTAATGGATTTTCCTTGGAAAATTTCTTTAAAGAACATAAAATTTAAATATATTACTCTCAGGGCAAAAGACTTTAACATCCTTTATTCACACTGTAATGAAGATAGCATCTTCTTAACCAGGAAAGAACAAAATTTATTATTTGAAACTTTGTTAATACCCCTTGATTGCAGAACTAAAGAATCCTAAATTGTAATTCATTTGGCATCCATTTATAGGTAGCCAAGGAGAAGGTTATTGCATTGTTGCCATGGCAGATGCTTTAAAAAATGACTGATGGGCCAGCAAGATAGCTCAGCAGACTAAGTGCCTGCTTAGGCAAGCACAGGGACCGTATTCAATCCCCAGTACCACATGCCTCACAGGCCTCACCTCAGAGCATGCCGAGTTCCAGTGTGGTGGCGCATGCCTGCAATCCCAGTGCTGGGGAGGCTGAAAACAGGAAGATCACTAGAATTCCAAGCTGTGTAATGAGATCCTGTACCAAATACAAAACAAGCAAACAAAAATCTCTTACCAAATGACTGATGGAAAACAAAATGCTATACCAAATTCACCAGAAAATATACAATTGAGCTATAAAGACATTATGCCTTTAACTAGATTGACATGTCAAAAATGAGGGCTTGCTTTGAAAAATTATAAAATACAACATGGGGTTATTGGCCAATTTTCATTTTATTGTGTTTAAAAAATCATCTGTTGGTAATTATGTGTCAAAGTGGGCTTGTCAAATCTTTGCAAGGGAAGCAATTTTTCTCAAATCTATGTGACCTAAATTACTTTTAGTTTT